TTGCAGTATCTGAGAACATCAGAAAAACAATTTGGATAAAAGATTGTTTTGGTTCTTGTTGTTAAGCAATTAAAAAATGAAGTTCATTTTCAAGTTTAATTCTGCCTTTTAACAAGCTGTTTGCCTAAGGCAGCCTAGCCTCCTGGATAGCAGCTGAGTGCTATCAAGATGTCATAATATGTGCCTGGAAATATGACTTCGCAGAAAACAATGCAAAAGTAAATGTGCTTGTTACTGGAAATTAGACTTCTGCGCAGCTTGTAAGGAATTGGAACATCAGCTCTTTAAAATTAAAGATGCTATGATACATTTTTGCTAATTAGCAATCTCTTGTTTAGGCTTTGTGAGTATAGAGACTCTTGCTTGAGAGTGTGTGTGTAACACTCCTGATGTTTCTTTGTGGTACACGCATTACTGTAGTATTTTTACTGCCACCTTTTTATTCAAAAGGAATAATTACTGTTTCTGCACTGAGAAGTCTTAGGTATCAGTAAAACTTTCTTCAGAGTTTTTCTCAGCCAGGTGTTACTAAATACAATGTCAACAATGTGAAGTGTTCTAGTGAAGGTGAGGAGCTGTGGGAATATCTTTTATCAGAATACTTTGGTTAGTTTTACTTTAACTGTTGTGAATAGCAGTTGAATGATACTTTAATTTTTTAACTATCACTTCTTTAGTATCTTACTTGTCCAGAGATACAGGTAGGGAATGAAAGGAAAGACAAAAAGACTTTTGGTGGTGGTCACAGATATACTTTGTAACAAAAAAAAAAAAAAAAAAAAAAAGTTTTTGTGTAGGGGGATGGGATTAGAAAGATTGGCTAATATTTTCCTCATTTTGCTAGATCGAAATTAAAGGTGGCTTTGAGCCCATGGGGTGAGGGGGCTTCAACTCCTTTTTGGAATCATTTCATCTTTTCTGCTCAAATGGTCCTGAAATGGTGATCTGTGTAGGTGTCTGAAGGATTAAGTGTTGTGCTGTGTGTGTTGGACTGCCTTTTGCCCACTTCTTCCTGTGAAAGCAGAGCATGATCTCTAGGGCAACACCTAATTCGAGTGTGAGCATCTTATCTAGAACAGTCGAGGCTCAGTATGCAAACAGAGGGTAAGGAACAGAATATGTTTTAAGCAGTCTCTTAAGCTGATATTTACTGACTTGCCTTGGCATCTGCCTTCCAGTTATTAAGAAAAAATATTATAGATTTATTTTCCTCCTTCAAGTTTCATCCTGTATAGAGCCTGTGTCATAAAGTTCAAGTCCAAACAAGAGTTGGATGGTGATATAGAATGAAGCACCTGTGAATAGTCTTTTTTTTTTTTTTTCCCTGAACTTTGTTCCTTTGTTTCTTGAGTTGTGTTTAATTTTTTAAGATGTTGCTATTACTGGATGTTCATTTTTGGACATAGTTTTTATACTCTGGCTGAAAAATAAACCAGCATATTCCAAACAAAGTTGTATTTTGCCAGTTTTATCTTTAATTTTGCTTGGTTCACTTTAGATATTCTTAGTGCTTGAAGAAATGTATCCTTCTCTCCATCCTAAAATACAAAAGTTTTTATTTTAGAAATAGTTATTTATTCTGAAGGAAGAGCCGATGAACTGTTTGTGGCACAACAGTGAGTCGGGATAGAACCTGCAGGCTGAGAATTTCTCATAAAAAATATTTCTAAGTAAGAGAAGAAGTGATGATATTTGATATCCTTGGCCTTGGAAATTGTAGATAGATACCAATTTTCCATTTGTTGTTTAGAAGCTAAGAATCTTCTGGTATTTTGACAAGGCCATAAAACTTGTCAGTGATGTGGGTATCAGCTGTTTAATTACCTGTCTCTCCTAGTAAAGAGCAAACTAGGACCTGCGTAGACCTGTCTTTGGGAGTAGGCTGACTGGAGTATCCCTGATGGTTTTCCAGAAGCTTGTCTGACTCACTGCTGGCCAGCCTCAGGAGTGGGAGTCATGCCCTGGTAGCAGCGTGAGCAAGTGCCTGATCCCAAGACCGTGAGAAGCCCTTCCATCTCAGAACGGTAGGATTGGAAAGCTGAACAGACAGAAGTCATTCAAGATGCTGGGAGTTTGTACTACAGCAGGTAGGGATTACATGGTGGGCGTTGCAGGAGCATTGCTTGTTCTTTGGTGTTGGTGGGTGGGAAGTTGAAGGGATGCTTTGTGATACCTGCTCCCATCTTGCAGAAGCGTGCTGCTGCAGCGCAGGGTTGGGAGAAGGCCAGGCATACTGGAGGATCCCATCCCCACTTATGTTAGTGCCAGCTGAGGAAGGATGTTTGACTGTTGCTGTATGGGTTGGCTGCTACGCCCACCTCCTCCGTGTGTTTAAGTGAGGAGCATGTTTGGGTAGCACTTCATTGGGTGCCTTGGCCAACCTATCCTACTACTGGAATCTGAGCAGTGGAGGCTGTAAGAGCAGGAGCTGTGTATGACTCACAGTATCCAGTTTGTCAGAAAGCCCACTGTTTTATCCAGCATATAGGTATCTCTCTGATGGTAGTGGATAATACCTTGCTATTCAAATGAATAGATGCTGGCCTCTTGCTGCCCTCCTCGTATGTTACAGAAAACACCAGAAGCGGATTTTTGTAAGACCCCGAGGCTGTGGGCGTGAAGGAGTACGATGTTAGTGATAATTTCAGAGACTAGACTGAGGGAGCTGAGCAGTTTGACAAAATGTATTCAGCTCTATATTACTTCAGTTCATTTTCTTTGTGGAACATAAGAGAAGAGAAACTGGGTTTATGCCATGTGTCATTTATTTTCTGTTAGGTAAGCATCAGCCCTCATCAATTGTTCAGAGAAAAACTTTGTAACATGGTAAATGGTATCATTTTGTCTGTCCTCTGCTGTTGCTCTAGTTTCACCATGGGACTCTTAGTGCAATTCTGTCTGGAGTGTTTTCTTCAGTGTTTCTTCAGGTGGGGAGGGGAGTGATGAATACTTTTTTATTTATAGGTTAAACGATCTGTACTCTAACAGTACAGTACTAGCTCATAAGCAAACAGTAAATTTACTTACTGTTTTTCTTCTGGAATGGCAAACTGGTGGTTTTGTAACTTCATTCTTTTGGGTTGCAACTTTGTGAATTAAGAGGCTACTTTTAACTTTCCTTTGAACCTTCAATCCTAGTAGTTTGAGTGACTGTAAGAGGAGGCAAAACCCTTGCTTATGCAACTGCTGTGATCACTGAAACATCTGGGCTTTCCCAAGGTAGAGCAGAAATTGGCTGTAATTTGCCTTGTTGAGAAATTGTTCCCTGAAATAGGGGACTTTGCAGAAGGTGTCTGGACTACATGACTCCTTCATTGTTCCTTCAAAATATCTGTAAGAACATCTCCCCTCCTCCTGCATTACTGCACACTGAAGAGGAAAGTAATAATTTAAAATTCAACACCTGCTGCTGAGCCACTTCTAGAATTACTTTTTTTTTTTTTTTTTTTTTTTTTTTTGAGTTCATCTCAGTGATCCAACTGCAGAATAAGGAGTGAATTTGAGGTCAGGCTCTGAACCAAGATGAGGTCAGTGGCTACCAGGCTCTGTTCTTGCCCTCGCAGAGGTGAGGCTTTCATTGTCTTCACTTTCAGAATGGTTTTCCAATCTTTGAAACAAGATCTCAGGAAGCAAATTTGCCCAGAAACTGCCTGTGCAGAATTTATATCCCTTTTTAGTCCAAGGGATGTAAAAAATGCAAACTGGAGCTGTTGTCTTTTAAGTCCATTTGTTTTTCCCCAGAGTGGCAGTGCTGCCTGCTCTGCTGCCTGTGAAAGGGAGGTAAAAAGAGGACACAGAGTCCTGTCAGGGCTGAATTTACATTGCTGCTTTTTGGGACCTCTTTCTGAGAAACATGCTTGCTTAGGGCTACTTATACAGCCCTGCTTGGCCGTGATTTTGGATCCAAGGTTGGCATTCTCTTCACAGGAGTTGTTTTGTGAAGCTGGGCCTCACCTGCCCACCAGTGACGGACTGCAGGCCTTGCGGTCGGCTCCAACTGCCCACGGCTCTCAGGGCTGACCATGACCCTGGTTCTGCAAAGCTTTAAACAGCTCCTCAATGTTTCTTTATACCTTCCTGCGAAAAGTGAGGGGTTATCTTATCAAGCATAGCCTCTTTTCTGGTTATGTTCTAGTAGATTAGTATAGAGGTGGGCCTGTTTTCTGGGAATGCATTGAGTTTTTGGGTTGCTCATAATAGAAACCAGGTGTGAAGTCAAATTAGGAATCCCAAGATCAGGAAGATTGCTTTTGATCTGGTTGGTTGTTTTGTTTGTTTTAAAAGCAAAATAAAAAAAAAAAAAGTGTAAGACATTTCATGTTAGCAGTGTTTCAATGTGAAATTAACTTGCCTTATCTAGAGATCTGGTTTGTTCTTAACATGCGAGTCGTTTGCTGGAAGCATGTTTGGCCATACAGACCTTTTAGAAGCACTATAGCCTGGGGATTGATATTGCCAGGACTGCGCTGTCTCTGCTGTTTATGAGAATGACTTCAGCCATGAGTGAATTGTGTTTTTCTGCAAATCAGTGAAGTATGATCTTAAATTACTAGAATATAGATTGTAAGTTATTAAAATATGCTGAAAAGATCTTTAAATATCAGAAATCCAAATTTTCTCTCTAGTGTTCTGTGGATCCTTCCACAGCAACACTAGCCCTGACTGCTGCTCTGAATTAACATAACTGACACTATGCATAGCCCTGGATGGGGGCTTGCTGACATCAACTCTTCTGGCACCTATTCAGAAAAGTAAACAAAAGACAATCAGTGTTGAGTTTGGCAAGGCTAGCAAGTCCACAAAACTGCCAAATCCTTCTCACAGTGTATTTATCCAATTAATCCCATTGATTTAGGAGATTTACTTAAGTGAGTAAAATGTACTGTATTTGGTCTTAAAAGTGCTTGCCCTAAAATGTGGGTTTTCTAGTGAATTAGTAAACACATGTTTTTCACTTATATTATGGTCTTCATGTTTTTGTTGTTGTTTTTCCTTTTTAGAAAAAAGATGAATTCTGAAAGCTCAGCACTTACCATGAATAGTCCTGCAATAATAAACCAATGTGCCAGGGGAGGAATGGAAGAAGAAAAAGTTTGGTAAGGAAGCTTTACTTCTAATTTTCTGTGAGGTTAGTAGACAGCTATATTGAGAGACTTAGTTTTTATTTTATTTTTTTTAAGAAGTACAAGAGTTATTTATGTTGGAAATATTTATATTAATTTGCATTATTTAAATAGAATGAGAATGAGAAAGGAAGTTTTTATTGTGTTTTTGAGTTTTTAGCAGATGACCATGGGGCTGTAGTGTCATGGGGGATGGGAAATGGAAAAACTCTGTTCACTTCAACAGTACACCAGTTGTACTCATGGAATCTTTCACATACAGCAAATGTCTTAATCTCTCAATGCTGCTGCTATGCTTGTGCTGTGCTATTACTAGTAGCCTTCAAAGTGCTGTACAGTTGAGAAGTCAGGCTTGTGGTTTCCTGAGATTTGTGCCGTAGGAGACATTAAAAAGTCAGTAGTTTCTACTTATTATAAAAAAGACTTTATACTGCAGGAAAAAGAAATGCAGTTCAGTGGAAGTGAAGTTCAGTCATAGCTGAGGCAAATTCTTATACTTCAGGACAATTTTTTTGTGAAAACTGTCTCTGACCATGTGATTTTTAGCACTTTGTTTGGTGTTAGCATGAAGAGAACTGGGTGTTGGGAAGGCACTGAGGCATTTCAGCTGTGTTACTGGGGATCCTTTATTGAGACTCTTCTGATTTTGCTTGCTGTTGTTCACTAGGATTTAGCTAGGATTTTGTTGCATTGCTTATATACCATGTAGAAAAGAAATAAATTCATGCTGCAGGGAAAAAAAAAAAAAAAGAGAGAGAGAGAGACCTACATGGACAAAAAGCTAAATTACACTTTTTTCTAGCCTAGGAAATGATCAGTGTTATAAATGAGGTCTCAACTCAATCTGAATTTTGTAATACTTATAAAAGCGCTGTAATACTTATAAACAGTGCTGGATGTGCAGGGAGTCTATGCTCCACCAACATGCACACACGAACATCAAACATTCTAAATATACAGAACATTGCTTTTGCATACTAAACCTGAATATGCCTATACATACGTACAATCAGGAAAGGTAACGAACAATCCTTTAAGTTCCATGACTTAACAGTTTCCATTTTCCATTCCTTTTGAACAATATGTCTCGCTTCAAGTTGTCAAGCAACACGGTTTTCAGGCCTTATGTATCCCGTTCTTCCCAGATTGAAGAAAAACATATCCATCTCCTTTTCAAGGCTAATAGGCCTGGGTCAAAAGGCACGTCCAGGTCGTCAGAGGGCATAACAGCAAAAGCCTTCGATGGCAGTAGCAGCAGAGGGGCCCATGGCGTAGCAGTCGGATCAGTAAAGGAGCCCACAGCTCCATCGCTATCTGGCAAACCACACGTTTCTGACTGCGGCCCCACATGGCTCTTTAAGGCCTCAGAGATTCCTCGCCAGGTGCCGAGCAATCCCACTGCAACCTTGTTGTTTTTAGCTGCAGAGTCCCACGCCTTGACCTCAGTTTGGTCCCATATTTCAGGATCATAAACTGTCTGATTGTTAATAAGGAGAATAAGCTCTAAGGTTACCAGGACAGTCTTTGTTCCTAAGGACGTATGATTCCCCATAATGTGCAACTGCTTACCAGCAAGGGGCAATTGTGTGCGTGGGTCCGCTTCTCTCCAGCTCCAGTGTGCCTATTTCCAGCAACTTTCTGTACGAGCTTTTCTGAGAGGTTTGCTGAGTCTGGCCGAACTGATCTTCGTGAGGTGATCAATGTATCTGTTCCCTTCCTGGTCTCCATTCTGCTAGCCGGTCCCTATTAATTCCTTTTTCCTACTACTTTATTGATGACATAACTTCATTATATCGTGTTGCCTTTTTTTCATCTTAAGGACAGGCTCCCCTCTTATACCCTTCACCCCACAGCAGTCCTTTTCAAAAACAACTTTTCGTTGGTCAAACAACTTTGCCCAGCAACAGCCCAGAACACCCAGAAACTTCCATGCCTTAAGAGCTGGAGAACAAGCAACCAGAGACTGCAGAGCGACTGCATGGATTCTCAATCACCCTTCTTTGTTCCCTCTAAACTCTTTACATTCCTGATGGCCTCATCATTAACAGTCTGATATTATCACCAAACATGGGGCTTGTTGACCCCCATGGCCACACTCCCACATCTCCCCCCTTCTTTATTAATATAAACCATCTTCTTGACATGAATTATTACTCCACATATCACAGTATGTATGTCAAGCTGTGTAACTTCTGTTATGCAGTTGAATAGTTACCTCAGTAAAATACTGTCTAGGCGTCCTTATATTGGTTTTCAGTGGATTTCTATGGGTTTAGCTGAATTGTTGTTACGAGACAAGTAGCTCATCTTTGGGAGCATGGGAAGGAAATTCTGCTTTTCTTCTTGATGAAGAAGAGTAGCTTTGACCCTCAGAGGTGCTGGCCTTGCCCAGCCTACTGCTGTTAGAGGTGTGAAGCAAATGGGAGCACTTTCCACTTCCTGGTCACTCCCATGTTCTTGCTTCTACTGAAGTTTTGGCTCAAAATGCTTTCCAGTTGTACTCCTCCTTTCTCTATAATAGCCAGCAAATGATCACTTGTAAATAGGAATTTAAATTGAGTCTAGCCTCTTTCTTCCAACAATCCCACAGGGTTATCATCTTTTTTTTTTTTCCAGCTTCTGGGTGGCTGGGTCCTGCCTTCTGGTCAGTGGGAATTCTTGTCCGTATTCCAGACAATACAGTTTTCCTTAGCATGGCTGCTGACTTGTTACTTTTTGTCACTTCAGCACCTCGTCGTAATCCTTGATGCTTTTCTCCCGTGTCAATTGTAGGATTACAAAAGTTAGAATTTCCAACTCTCATTTTTTTTTCAGCTTTAGATAAACACAAGCAAAGAAACTTACTTAGAACTTACCTAGCAGGTTCTTGCTTTTTAACTTTAATTTATAATACATGCATTTCAGAATCTCTTGCGTTTACAGCTGCCTAGAAGCAGTTTGTTGGCATAAAGCTGAACCACAAAACTGGTTTGTGAAAATGCTACCTACAGCTGACTCCTGAACAGTGTTTAGTTATGGCTGATACTGGGTAGATGGGGTAGTCTGTAGAACAGCCTGGACTTTTTTTTTTTTTTTCCATCAGTTGGTATGGATTGGTATCCTCAATAGTTCAGTTGCTTGCTTTTGTTTGAAGGAAGATGAAAGTCATTTTTCTGTTTCTTCATAATTTTGGATTAGGCTGTTATTGAGCAGAAATAGTGCACTTTGATTGCAAAAGGACTGCAAGGCTCCACTTTTATCAGTGTAAGTTGGGTACTTTTCTGCCATTATCAGTGCCAAGTACAAAAGAGTTGGGAGAACAAGGGGTGGAAATATTCTTTATCTTTTCCGTTTCAAAGTCACCTAGGTTAACTAAAACCGCTTCTACCAGTAGTTTGAACTATCAAGGCTGATGTTATATTATAGCAGATGAAAACTTCATGAGAGTAAGCAGTAATGACACCTTAAATTATCCTGGTTATTTTTGTGAGGATCTTTCTCCCCTCCTATATTGCATAAGCATTTACAAAATCTGCTGCTCTGTTTTATTGGTGTTGTATCTGCTTTGTTTGGTACCTCTGCAAGATAAAGGTCCTTGAATTCTCAAACTGGCAATGCTTCATTTGGTTCTATGGCTTTCTTTCCCCCCAGCACGTGTAACCAAGATTATAGCAGCAAAACATGCTGTTAGTAGGAATAATGTGACTGCTGTAAATGTCTGATAACTAGAGGGCACCACAGCAAAGTCCATGCATAAGCCAAATTCAGCTGTTATTGATAAGCAGAAATACTGAAAAACTCAGCTGATACTGTTGATGTTATGACCATTTATTATCTAAGCCAGTATGGAGCAATACTTGAGCAACTGAAGGACTGAGAGCCTTGAAATTTTAGATGCTACTGATGTGGCAGATTCTCAGTTTCTTAATGTTGAGAATTGCAAGAAAGGAACTAAAGATAATGACACAGTTCCCACTTGCTCCCTTTAATCTGTGCTTAGTATGAAAATAGCTGGATGACATGTTGTTTTCAAAAAAAAAAATGTGCAGGGGAATTGGAAATCTTCCAGTTTTTGTTATTGTGTGTGGATTTACGATGTGCTTCCTCAAGGCTGGAAGAAATCGTGCTGGTCATTTTGGCTTTTTGAGCAAAATTAAGTCAGGAACTATTTCAGTTGTTTAAAACTAATTGAAATTTGGGGTTCTGGATTTCTCCCATCATTGAATTTGGGATGCCTTGTTTTTTCTTTTCTAAACCCTCTTCCATATTGCTTACTGAGTTTGTAGCACACTCCTATTTCTATGACAGTCACCATCATTTTTAGAGCAAGTCTCTTTAAAAACTGCCTCTGACATGTGGCTTTGCTGACAAAAAGGGCTTGGCTGTCCCTTTCCCTAGGCAAGGGATGTGGTATGTGTGGAAAATAATTAGAAGCAAAGTTGTTACTTTTACTGTTGTGATTTTTATTTTTATTTATTTATTTATTTTATTTTATTCAGGACCTTAGAAAAGCAAATAGAAAACTGTAAAACAGCCACAGGAAATAGTTCAGCGAAACATCAGAAATATTTATTTCTCTTTTAAAGGAGGAAAACATCAGGGTATGAGGCTTTGCAATATCTGGCTTCTGTGGTGAAGCTGATTTAAGCCTCTCATTTGCTTGTTCCTCTTCGTGACGTTGTTAGCCATCACTGCTGTTGTGCCAATAGCATAGTGAGCTGCTCTGTGAATTAAATGAAAACAATTTTGGTTAACATAGATCTTGTTTTGGGAAAGTCAATTTTTATTTCAGTAAATTCATGTACCACAGCTCTACAATTAGCTGTTTGGCACAACTCAGAGGGTGAAACTGCAGTAAGTATGGGGTAGGGCACATACTGATCAAGGAATTGGGGACTTTTGGGGTTTGCTCATTTTACTAGGACTTCCTTGCCAAAGCTGATGGGTTTTATCCTAAAATAGATGGTCAACAGAGTTACAAAATATGTATAGAA